ACAGCCACTCCTTCGTCTAGTCTAGCCTCCAACAGTAGTAGAACTGGCATGGAAAATGCACAGATACTACTTAGCAGAGGAAAATGCCCAATATTGAGCTGTGGGAGAGGACCGGCGTGCGGTGGCAAAGGGAAGCAGTGACCTGGATGGAGACTTCTCGGTGGGCAGCGACTCTACCAGGACTGTTGAGCTGCTGCAGTACCTGCAGTGCCCTGTGTTTACTGACGTCCTTAACTTTCTGAACATGCCTTTTGTTTGCTTTAGATAAAAGGATAACTTGAAAGTGCTTCAAAGGTACAAGTAACCTTACACTTGATAACTTTTAAGATGATTCTTATCACTAATACGATAAAAATGTAAAACAAGAAGAAAGTTGAGGCAAGAAGATCTTGGAGTTTTGCTTTTCGCAAGAATCTTCTTGTGAGTAAAAGTAGGAATGATTTGGTGGGAAAAGCAGCTTTGGATGCCATAATGGAGCTGGGGCTTTTGATGCAATGAAATAAAGTGTCACTTTTAAATGGCATATTATGCCATGGTAATGAAAGCCTCTGTCCCATGTCCTTATCTAGAAAGGGGGCTTAGCAAGAACATGTATGTATGAGGAAAGGCAACCTGAAGGTGTTTCTGTTGCAGCATTTTGAGAACTGAGATTTATTTATTGAGAAAAGCTGACACACTGAGCAACTGGATGCAATAAGTTGTCCGGTTAATGCTCTTAAGTCAGTTTTTTGTTCTCCATGGGTCCTACAAATCCAGTTAATGTTTAACGTTGCTTGCTGGTGGTCCTTCCTTCACAGAAAGGACATTCGAAAGGTGCTTTACAGGCAGAGATTTGAACTGTATAAAATTGTAGCCTGTTGTTTTATCAAATAGCTCTATGAGCCTCAAGGGGGCTAAAGCTCATCTTAGAAGTGTGTGTTAAATTTCTAGGAAATACTGTTAGCCTTGTAGGCATTGTAGGCTAGACTTAAGAGTCTTTTAAAGAGCTACTATCACAGTAGTACCAGTAGCTTGCTGAAAGTGCAGGAATTGCAGGATCTCAAGACATGATCCAACATTGTGTATTAATCCATGATCTTGAGCATATTAATCCAGTAGCTCCTTCTCATCCTGGCCAGCACTAGGACCTTCAGCAGAAAGTATAAAACCGTCAGCAAATATTTGGCACTTAGGAGGATGTTGCCACCCAGCTGCAGGACGTGCTCCGATATCTTTCACAATATATCTGAATAAATCTGGAGAGAGGAATGTCGGGATTTTGCAAGGCTGGTTACAGCTAACTGTGCCTAGCTCGGGACCAGGATGTCTTGGGATCCGAGTTCTGTTGCGTTATGTTGCTTATCAAAAATGTCAAAGGAGTCCAAGCAGTCATTTAATGTATTTAGTATCTCCTCCTGTGCGCTCACAGGAAGAAGAGGTGGGATTTTTATTTTGTTCTTGTGACTTTCAGATATCTCCCCTTTTTGTATACCTATTTTTTTCCAAATTTTGTTATTCTGGTCTTTATAATCATGAGTCTCTTTCTCCTGGCCATTTCTCATTGTCATTACCTGTTTCTCAACTTCCCTCCTTTCTCACAAAAAAGTCACCAAGAATGAGTGAGCGTTAGTGTGCACGGAGTTTCAGATGGCTTCTTAATTTTAAATTCTCTCTGAGAAGTTAAAATACTGAGAAAAGCGTCAGAGTGCTTATTTTAAACATCTAAGCCCTTGGTGTAGAAAAAGACAATTCATGTCATGTAAGAAGGTGGAAATGATTCACCAACAGTCTAATGGCTCTCATTACCTTAACTGAGGCTGGTAGGCAATAGTTTGTTGAACACTATTAACTAAAGTTTAAATCCAGAAGACATGTCATCATCTTATGGTTTCCTCATGGTCTTTAACTTGCCCCAAATTCCTGCCCAACTCCACCACGGGGTTGTTTTAAACAGCTGAAAGTTGTGTTCAGCACAAGCTCACATACCCTGGCTTTAAATTATGAATTTTATGAAATGATCCCGGTTAGAATTATTTTCTGTTCGGTAATCCTAGAAAGCCTCCGTCTAAAACGCATTGCCTTTTCTCTCCTTTATTTATTTACTTATTTTCCCCTCTCCAGTGAGTTGGGAAGCTGTCGTGGTGACCCGGGGTTGGCAGCAGCGCGTCCTGCACCAGCAGCGCTTGGCTGTAGCCACCTGTAACTCACACAGGGTCACACAGAAACACGAGATTGCAAATCAACGCACCCTGTTTCTGTGTGCAGGAAAAGGGGTTTTGTTCCCTGTTCTTTGCACTCTGCTGCCTGTATCCCTCCCCCGTATTGCAGGAACGCGGGGGCTGTGCCATTAAGTCTAAAATAAAGGCAAAGTGATAGGAGTCACTGGAAGGTAGCATTTGAGCTCTCCTGCTCCCTCTTACTTCTGTGACTAGAGCTTTTTGCTGAATAAAACCAGTAAAGGTTGGTAGCTTAAATCTCCAGGTGTGTAGTGCTTGCTGGAAGGCTTGAAAGAAATGAGATGTCCTTTGGAAAGTATGTTTTGGTCATGGCTCAATAATCATCTCTTTTTTTAAATGAAACACTAATGTAATCATCAGATTATGTCTACTGTGCTACTTCTGCTCTGCTTGTGGATATTCACGATTGTACTTTGCAAACTGTCTCGCTAGCTCCCTTCTGTCACCATCCGTTCCCAATCCTAGCCCTAAATTACTCGATTTTGTCCTAATCCTGATGACCAGCCCTCTAAGCTAATCTACCCTATAGTTCTTGTAATGGCTGAAGCGGGAGGAGGACATCAGATGCTGTCAACCGACACAGCCATGGAGAGAAGCTAAAAGAGGTGATTTGGCTGCTCCTGATGCTGCAGAAGGATTCAAGGAGCGTCATGTCCACTTACAGGCACCTCTTATAAAGGAGTTTATGGACAGAGCTTTGAAGCCTGGAGAAGAGTAACAGGAATAACCAGTCAGAAATAGGTGGCTGGTGTCGGAGGTTAAAATAACTCCCTTCTGCCACCTGGGCTCACAGTTCCCTCTTATTTCTGGAAACAGGAATAAATAATCTATTTTTTTTTTAAAGAAGATGGGGGCAGTTCTCTTGGAAGAAGAGCAAGAAATGGGTATAACTTGCAGAAGAGTTGACTTACAGAAATGCTTTCTGGTTGCTCTGTGCCCTGCATCGTGGTCAGTGCTGTACCCTGTGAGGGTGGACTCGCTTCTGTCTCCATGCAGCACGACTGGAGGTCACAAGAGCCCGTTTATCAGTCACTGTCTGTTTTATCTTGACTTTCTGTGCATTGAAATCATGCAGCTTGGTGGCTTCGTAGCTCCACTGTCAATATATAAAACCGGTTATCATATTTAAGAAATGTGATAACTAAGGTTGTGAGGCATGTTATGAAAATCCAGAGGAAGTGCTGGGGGTCAGATATGCTTTGATGTAGTGTGCATAGCTTAAAAACAGTCAGTTATATCCTAGTAAGCCACTTAAGAAACTGTTAGTGAGCTCACTTAAATTATTTTTCACAAAACTAATTTAAGCCTTACAGCAATAACCTGTAACAGCATCCCTATTTATTTTAAATCGCATACAACCTTGCTAATGTGGATTTGTGTAATCTGAGTAGGTATAACCTAGTTAGGTAGGGCCTGATAAAAGACTTCTCTGCAACTGCTTTGCAGAGGCTTCATCCATGTTTTATAAGGCCGTGCCCAAGGTTGATGTATGAGTTTGTGGTGTTTTTTTTTTTTTTTTCCTTGTTTCAGCCCAGCTTCATCTCTATTATGTGCTGGTCCTGTACTGTAGATAGGCAAAATATTCACTTGGCTTCTCTTTTAAATATGAAGAGGACCCTGTAAAGTAGGGTAGTGTTGGTAAATGTGGGTTGCAGATACTGGAATTCCTGCCTGTGTGCTCTCCTTCAGGCCTGCTTAAAGAAGTGGAGTCCCTCAGTAGGTGTCATGAGCAACAACTCTTGGGTACGTAAGGAGGAACGGGTAGGAGAGCCGGCTCCTGGGAGCCCAGGGAGAGGCTCCTCACGTACGGAGCCCTGGGCTGCGGCCCGTGGCTCTGCCACGCGCACAGCCTCGCTCCGAAGTGCCGGTCGCGCTGGCAGGGCTCTCCGTGGCAGACCTGGAGCTGGCTGCATGAGTTGCCTTTTACTGTCTTCTGCCCGGAAAGCTCTGAATGAGAGCGGTGCTGAGGAGCTGTTTGCAGGTGTGTGAGCTGCTGTAACAGCTGCGTATTTTCAGTTCCCCTTTGGATAGCTTGGGATCTCGCTCTTATTTCCTGCTTGGGAAGGAGCAAGGGGTGCTTTTAATCCAAAACTGAAATGGAAGTGTGTGTTTGCTCGTCAGCACTGGTTGAAGGATGAGAGCCTCTCGCGTGAGCGTCCCAGCGGTGCCGTTGCTCGGGGGTTCTCGGAGCGGCGTCACGAGCTCCATGCACTGGGTGTCCGGAGCGCTCGCCATGGGCGAGTGACAGCGCGTGGTGGCAACGCGGGCTCTGCCCTGCCTGAAACGCTTCTAGCACGTGGATTTATGTTTTGTGCGCTTGATTTAAGACTTCTGTTCTAGAAAAATAAACGCTGAGGTTACTGATGACGATGCCTTCCTATGTGAGCATCAGTTTTATCATTTGTTTGTCCTGTCAGTCTTGGCTGACTGGAAACATGAGAATGCCGGGTGATCCCGGCTCTTCCTACCCGGAGAGTGGGCACAGACAGACACGAGCACTAAAAGCCTTATGAGAGGGGGAGGCTTCCCAGTTTGTTGCCAGCCCTGTATGTGCCGTCCGTGGGATAAAGATAGTTGTCAGCTGGGAGCTGGATGGAATATGTTTCCTTCTGAAAAAAGACTAATTGGTTGCTAAAAATTCTGAGGTGTTAATTCTTATTTAAATCTAGTCCGAGTTGGTGTGTCTGAGCCAGCAGGTTCTGTTAGATATTTTAAGAGATGAGGGGCTTATACTTTCCTTGTAGAAGACTGTCGTTGAATCAGTCCTAATGACAATTTTTTTTTTTCTAACTTTAGGATACTTGTGAAAGATGGTGGATCGCTTGGCAAACAGTGAGGCAAATACAAGACGAATAAGCATAGTGGAAAACTGCTTTGGAGCAGCTGGGCAGCCTCTGACTATTCCTGGTCGCGTTCTCATCGGAGAAGGAGTCTTAACAAAGCTGTGCAGGAAGAAACCCAAAGCGAGGCAGTTCTTCCTGTTCAATGACATTCTTGTTTACGGTAACATTGTCATCCAGAAGAAGAAATACAATAAGCAGCACATAATTCCCCTGGAAAACGTCACTATTGATTCCATCCAAGACGAGGGCGACTTGCGGAACGGGTGGCTCATCAAGACGCCCACCAAGTCGTTTGCAGTTTATGCCGCCACTGCCACAGAGAAGTCCGAGTGGATGAACCACATAAACAAGTGTGTTTCCGACCTGCTTTCCAAAAGCGGGAAGACTCCTAGCAATGAACACGCGGCCGTCTGGGTGCCGGACTCGGAAGCCGCCGTGTGCATGCGCTGCCAGAAAGCCAAGTTCACGCCCGTCAACCGCCGCCACCACTGCCGCAAATGCGGCTTCGTCGTGTGCGGGCCCTGCTCCGAGAAGAGGTTTCTTCTTCCCAGCCAGTCCTCCAAGCCCGTGCGGATCTGTGACTTCTGCTTCGAGCTCCTCTCCACTGGGGAGATGGCTGCTTGTCAGCCCGCTCGGTCAGACTCCTACAGCCAGTGCCCCAAATCCCCTTTGAATGATGTATCCGATGAGGAGGATGAAGACAGTAGCGACTAAGGGCCAAACGTTGTTTTCCATGTTTTGCGATTGGTGTTTCAAACCACGTGGAGCTGCTTTCAGCTGGGAAGCCTATAGTCAGCTTTCCCAGGAAAAAACAAAATCTGTTCTAGCCATAAAATATGCCTGAATATCTTCAGCTATGATGTGCCTCAATCTACAAATTCTCTAGACAATAGATTTTTCACTCCTCTGCAGGGATAGACTGTTGCCAATGTTATGAGATAATTTTCTTATACTTGAGTTATGTCTAGGTTACACATTTGTGGAAGATTGGAAAAAATATATTGTATTTTCTTAATTTAACAACCCATATTTCCTTATGTTTCGTATTGATATGTTATGTGGGTTTTTTGGGATACGGGAGGAAAAAAGTGTGTGAAACGGTCATATTTTTGTGAATCCCATAAAATTATATATATATGTATTTTTTTTCTGACCATGCTACATAGTGATAAATTGAAACTAACTACAAACTTACATGTCACAAAACTTGGGAATTGTCTTGTTCTGCTCTTATTTATGACTTCCTATACCAAGCAGTGCCTTGTAACAGTTGTGCTGATTCAGGAGGAAACCAACCAATAATTATGTCCATTATCTGTTGTTTGCCTGATGCTGGTATCTGAGAGATTGTTGGTGCTATTGAAAATAACTGCTGTGTCCAAAATGGGATTTTGAAAAGGTCTCGTCTGCCTGCCCGCAGTGGGTGACTGAGACCTAGTTCCTGCGTCCTCATCTGCACAGGCAGAGCCAGAGACTCGGCCGCTTCCTCAAGGCTTCCGTGAGGTTCTCCTTGCCGGAGCTGCGCCGCAGCCCCCAGACCAGGGTCGGCAGCAGGAGATGAGAAGCCTGGCGTGGTCTTCACAGGGATACAGACACATTTTCTTTACAGAATAGTTGATACGTTTCAAATGGTAATTTGGCAAATGCATGCTGAAACTTCAGTAGCATAGGGTGGCGTAGCATTTTGCTGTGATAGTTTATGGTTTTGGAATTATTTTCCAAATGAAACACTAATTAGAAAAAAAGAAATCAGAGTTGTTTTTTTTTTTTTTTTGGTGGGGGGGGGATTTTTTGTTGGCTTATTTAAAAATAACCTGCAGTTTTGAACGAATAGCCTGCAACTATCCTTATAGAATTGGCTTTCTTTTTACACAGCTGACCTCAGGATAAATGTGAGATGCAAGTTGCTTCATTCAAAATGCCCAGGACCAAGAGAGAGGTATCTAAGGCCTAACGGTCAGTGCAGAAAATGTCTAGTAGAGAATTCACTTTACAGAAGCTGTTGAATACAGAAGTGTTGTATTTCCTAGACATGTAAAGAGTTGTTAAATCCACAAATGCTGTTTCTATATTTTATAACAGTAGTAGTCGATTTTGAAAGAGAAAAACCTCTTGGAAATAACTGTATGGAAATATAGTAGCAACTTTATTTTTTAAAAAAGTTAAACATTTGTAGATCTTTAAGTGACAATTTCTGCACTGTTTGCCTTGGTTGGCACTAATTGGGTTAAATATTTATTGATTAAACAATCAATGCTGCGTATTGCACTACTCTCCCATTTTGTACACTGTCAGTCACGTTTTTCTTAGAAAAAAGGTAACAAAATAAAAGCCAAGCGCTTCAAAGTTGGGGCCATCCGAGGGCTCTGCAGTAGCCGAAGATGCACGTGGCATCTCGGGGGCGGCCCCTGCACTGATGCTCTGCAGCACGTGGCTTCGGGGAAAGCCCCACTCGTTTTGGGGCAAGGAATTCCAGAATAGAATTTCATTTGTAAGGACTGAAGAGTGTTTGATCTGCTTTGAAGCACACAAAAAAGGGAAAACACTGGGATGGAGACCAGGGACCAGGAAGCCCTGAAGATTTTCAGATGAGCAATAAATGGTTGAATACTCGGAGATGAGGCGGAGTGAGTAGTTACCTCTACTGGTTCCTTGAAAGACAGGGAGATGATGACCTGCAGCTGGGGAAAGGAGCTCTTCTGAGAAGCCATTTCCAGGGCAGAGTGCTTGCATCTTGTGCCTTCGTTTCTCAAAAAAACAGCTTTCGTATTTCAGGAATGGAGACTGAACTTATCAGCTCTGGTTTTTCTCCAGAACTGGCGTGTGGGCTTCCCACGTGCGCATGTTCCAGTGACTAACAGCAACGCGCTTCCTGACCCGGTGTTTCCTCTTTCTTTAGCTCTCAAATACTAATGTGTCTTGTTCAAGATCCCAGCTTTTTGTGTACCTTTCTCAGCGTTTCTAGATGTTGTGCTTCCTTCTCGGCACTTTTTGGAGGGATGGGGAAGGAGTTGGGGAGAGCTCAGAGCACGTCCTGTATTTCCGCGGTGTCCTTGTACCCGCTCCATGTATCTCCCGTTACCTGTGAATGAACCTTGCACTGTGTCACGCCGGTCCCCGAAGCTGTAACCAAACCAACGATTGTATGTATGGGAGGGGAGCGTTTCATCTGAAAACCATGTATGTGGTCTAGGCTTTTTGAGAAAGTATTTAAAAATCCTCTGGTAGTATCCATATCCTTCAGTGGAATTTGCTGAAACTACAAAATGAAGTGAACATCAACTTCTGTCATGTACTTTCACGTTCTGGAAAGGGCTCGGTTCCTACTTTGTAATCTTGTTTTGTCAAATTATTTTTCTGTACAAATACATGGTGTAGCTTCAAGCCTGTATGTGTTTAATTTTCTTTAACTGTGGGCCTTTAAGGGTGACAGAAAACTGGTTTTGGAGGGGTTTTTCTGTTTTTAACAGCAAGCGAATCAGCTGTCAGAAGGATTATTACAGTGGGAATAAATAATTGTGAAGGGTGAGACTTGGCTGAGTTTGGAATAAGTGTAGCAGGGATTTAGAAGCAACAGACACAGCTGAGTAGAGGAACAGTTTAAACAAGATGGGAAACCAGCGTTTTGCAGTTTGGCTTTTTGTTGAGCTGGGGCAGCCAAAGCCAAGGCCAAGGCCTGGGAAAGAGGCTGGGTTACTCAAAAGTCCTTCATGCCAGTGTCAGAGCAACCATCTTCCCAGCTCCGAGCGCGACGGGAAGTGAGTTCCGATATGAAAGGGGAGAGCAATTTTGTCCTTTTCCCGGGGCTCTGTACTCTTAAGCTCTAAAAACAATTTAGCAATTAGGGCCGGCCTGGCTGCATATTTTATGTAAACTTTTTCCTGTTCATTGTGGTCGATTTAATCTGCTGTTTTTGATAACATTTTGCAAATCAAATGCGAAAAGGAGGAAGTGGTGGCCGCAGTATCTCTTCTGCAAGGCTCTGCAGGCAGCTTCTGCTTTGCGGAACAGATGAAATACCTACATTGATGGATGAAATGCAGAGTCATTTGCTTTAGCATTTTGCATGCTCTAGCACCTTGCACAGGAGCCTGCATTTCACAGTGCTGGAAACACTAAAGGAAAGTTAAAGTTAACTAGACTGTTTTTCTTTCAGATTTGATGCCAATAAACTTCCCTTAGCTAACGAGGAATCTGCAAAAGCCAAGCAGATGAGCTCTTGTGTTATTCTCCTCAAATTCCATTTGCTCATTTTTGAGCTTTATTTACTGAAAGTTGAGTTTGTAACTGAGGTTTTTAAGGTCTCTTATCTTGCAGGCAGCTTCTAAAAATGACAAACAAAAACCTTCCGTCTGTGGAGATGGGAGTGTCCCCCGTGCATAAACTTTAGCCAACCACTATTTTGTTTGCATTAGGAGATTACAGTAGTTATCGGCTACTGTTGAAGCGGATTATGAGTTGCATTAATGTGATTTTGCTTTTACTTGGAACTGCCATACACTACTGGAAGAAAACTTGCTCCTGGTAGCAGATATAGCTGGAAAGGAGCAGAATTCTGTTATGTCAAAGTACAGGTATTTGCAGCAACAAATTATGGAAATAAATCTTGGAAGTTAACTGTTCATTGCCCCTCACTTGATGAAGTTTGACCTGTTTGTGCCACAGTGTGTGCATAGCTCTCTTGGCCACTGGGTACATCTAAGCGTATTTTTTAGCTTGTGTGAGCTGTAAGGATTAAGTTTTAGTAAAATTGCTGTTATGTGTATCTAGTGTTTCAAAAAACTGTCTCAAAGTAGTTTCTTGCAGCTTAAGAAGTTAATAGGTAACTGCAGCAGCAACTCAAGACCTGTGATGCAAATAGGACCTGCTTCCCTATCCCAGCTCATTCTTATTTATGCTTAAAATAACTGGATCACAGAATCACAGGATGGTTGAGGTTGGAAGGGACCTCTAGAAATCACCTAGTCCAACCCCCTGCTCCAGCAGGGACACCCAGAGCACGTGGCACAGGGTGGCATCCAGGAGGGGTTTGAAGATCTCCAGAGAAGGAGACTCCACAACCTCTCTGGGCAGCCTGTTTCCGGGCTCTGTCACCCTCACAGGAAAGATGAGAGTGTATCTGAGAGACCATCTCTAAGAAGTCTGTAGCACCAGATTATGCCCTCGGCGCAGCTAGGCAGAGCTCCAGCAGATGGCAAGAGCCCGGGGCGCTCAGGTTTCAGGCATAACACCAATGAGTTCAAAAGCTTAAACTTCAACAGTCTGAACTTACGTAGGTAGCCTCATTTTCCTGATGAAAAGTGAGTGGATATGGACTGTTTTATTGCAGACGTGAGTGACTTGCAAGTAGTTTCATTTCAGCTATTGGCTAGACTTGATACTTAGATTTTTCTGTCCAAAAACTGCTGCCTGTGTGCAGATTTAAGCTTAGCATGCTCAGCATTGTATGAAAACTGTCCAACGTGCATGCAAAATGCTACGTACCTTCTTGTAGCATCCTCTGATGCTTTTCTGCTGAAGCTGAAGGGATTTTTAATTTTTTTTTTTTAATAGTATTACTTATGGTGTGCACCTGGCCTGGCCCTTGTTATGTATAACTTGGTGTTTTGAGTGGAAGGTCTTAAATGTTGAGAGGAAATACCAGCTTGATTTTCAAACAAAGCGGCCAGCTCGGTAGTTCTCTGTCAGTGAAACAGCAGTGCTTGGGAAGGGAGGAATGCCAGAAAAAAGCCAACTTCTGAATGAAATTCTC